CTGAGAGAATATCCATGCTGTACCACCTGGGAGCACCTCCAAAAGCTGCTTTCTGTGCTCAGTCCTGCCATGGCCAACCCTCCCTGCCACTTGCTGTTGCAGCAGATAAATCCCATGTGTCTTTGGGTACTTCAATCTCCTTCTGAGGGTCTGTCAGGGTTATGAGCAGAGTGAGTTTTTTTCTAGAAGAGTTGTGTTGAATAATAAAATGTCAAAATGGTCTTAAATACACACAGTGTATTTAAGCCCTTGGCCACCTTCATCAGCTGCAGAAGAGTCAGGCCAGATGTATCCACTTGTCCAGCAGGGTCTGGCTGCTTCCACCAGGCTTATTTTGTACTTTCAAGAACCAGGGAAAAAGCTCTGAAACACATTCTCATCCCTGTCCTGGTCAGCTTCTTAGAAAATGCTTTATGATGGAGATTTACCCTCCACAGAAGAGGCTGGTGGGAAAACCTTTCTGTCCTCAGAAGCTGTGACTTTCCCAGGGTGAAAAGAGGTACAGGCAAGTGAAGTGTCTTTCATTGGCTTCTGTAAAGACAAAGAGGTATTAAGACAGCATTATTGTAAACCAGAGCAGAGCAAGGGCTGATTATTAAATGGTGGTTCAGGTATGTGCTAATCAAGATCTTGCTATAATTATTTCTCAAGCCCAGCATTGATTTTATATTAGATTGGAAGGAGGCAGCAAAGCTTTAAATTGTTACAGAGAGGGTTAAATGGCTTTCAATTTATATACTAAAACAATCATAAACTTAGAAGAAATATATAAGAAAAAAAAAAACACCAAGTCTTTTCTTGTTTCCCAGAGCTTAAAATCTGGGGGCTATTTTCAATGAAGGCAGTTGGAGAGCAGCTCAGAGTTTCTGTTGGGAGGCAGCGTGCTGGGATGAGAAGTGTGTTTGCAGAGTGAAAGCTGGTTTCAGTAAACACCCTGTGAGAACCAGAATTCACCTGTTAAAACTGGGCCTTCAGCTACTTGACTTCAAAGTGACCTCAGAGCTGAATTTAAAATGGCTCTGTGATGGGGTGGAGATACAGGCTAGCACACGGGATCACTTAGGAAAACCTGCTGGTGTGGTTTAGGCTGGAATTTAGCTTGTGGTTTGAAAACAACTATTATTAAAAGCTTGCTCCACTTGGAGGGTTTGAAATCACTGCTCCTTCCTCCACTGCAAGATCTTCACATCATTTCTCCAAAGCAAAGCTGCCAGGAAAAACCCCTGGAGATCAAGTGCAGTGCCTGCCTTTGTTTGTTGGAGAGGAAACTGCCGTGTACTTAGTTAAGTAATCAGCTGCAGTTTGATAGAGTAAGGTCCCTTCAATAAACCTGGAAGTGTTGCCACGAAGAGAGAACAGCAGGCAAATTCTGCAGTGGAACAAGGTCAAGCATTCTGCTCGAGGACATGGGCTGCCCAGCTCTGAAGGCAATAAAACAGGCATTGATGGGCTTCCCTCAGCCCAGGCCTGTACCAGGCAGCTCCACAGGCACATTAAGTGCCATTGTTTGCACCAGCCCTGGGAGCCACTGCATTACACACAGAGGTTTATGGTGCCTTAAAGAGCCTTAAACCATAAACACGGCAACAAATGCCACGGCCCCGAAAACCGATCAACTGTGACAGAAAATGTCTCTGCGTGGCTGCGCTGAAAGAGCAACTTTGGCTTCAACTCTAACATGAAGAAAATTATATATCTGAGAGGCTACATGACCAGAAAGATGAAATCTGCAGGGCCTCAATACACAAACTGGAGTTTAAATCAGTTTTCTGTGACCCAAGTGTAAATGAAGTTAGTTTATGTTCACGGTTGTGATGATGATCATAGAATCATAAAATAGTTTGGGTTGGAAGGGACCTTTAAAAGCCATGCAGCCCAACCCCTCTGCAATGACCAGGGACACCTTCAACTAGACCAGGTTGCCCAGAGCTCCATCCAACCTGACCTTTAATATTTGCAGGAATGGGGCATCACCACCTCTCTGGGCTACCTGTGCCAGTGCCTCACCACCCTTATGATAAAAAACTTCTGTCTGATATCTCACCTAAACTGACAGTCCTTCAGTTTAAAGTCATTGCCCCTTGTCCTACTGCAACAGGCCCTTTTAAAAAGTTTGTTCCCTTTTTCCTTATAGCAGAGGTGCTCCAGCATCTTTGTGGTCTCCTCTGGATTCACTCCAACAGCTCCTTGTCCTTCCTGTGCTGGGACCCTGGAGCTGGATGCAGCTCTGCAGGTGAGGTCTCACCAGACTGGAGTAGAGGGGCAGAATCACCTCCCTGACCTGTTGACAAAACCCATCAAGGACCCCTTCCAGGTACTAAAGGCAGCAATGTCTGTGTGCTGAGCATCAAAAACCAACATGGGTATTAAACATCATTTTTACAATATTACACGGATGGAAAAACCAAGCTAAGGGCTGGACAGTGCCAGTAAGTTTCACTGAAACAATACGTAATTGGCCCAGAAAGGCAGGAAACCATGTGCCTGACGAGAAGGGGAGCATTTTGTGCGAGCATGCATTGTGTGCCTGGTGTGCCAAGGCTTTGGCAGTGGAACACCAGCCCCAGGATATCAGTGAAATGCAGGAGCCAGGAGAAAGCTTCCATTCTGCTGCAGAATCGATGGAGGAGGAGCGCCCTGCCTGCCCTGATCCGTGGTGTTTTACTGGAAGTCAAAAAATGCAGGAAACCCAGCTCTGGAATTTTTATTTTCTCAGGGAATTTTTTTTTTTTTTTCTCAGTCTGCAGCCTTCCCACCTGAAAGACATCTGAAGTTTTTCCTCTTCTCAGTCTCCCCTAAAGCCCGGTCCAGAGCAGAGGTGGATACACCAGGAAGCTGCTTTTCCACTTCACATTTCCACTAAAATTTCTTGTTATTACAAAAGAGCTCTTGATTCAGCAGCACCACTTCACAGCTCTTTTATAAATAGAGGCATTGCCTCTGCCCTGAGGAGCTCACAGCCTACACGAGACAAGCAAAATTCAGAAAATCAGGAAAAAAAGGATGGGCAGAAGTGATGAGAGAGGAGAAGGTGCTGCTTGGAGGTCTGAAGCTGGCTAAGGAATAAACTTTGTGAAATCCAGCTCCATGTTTTCATCCCTCAGCAGACTCATCTTGGAACAACCCACTAAATGAATGAGTGCAACAGCAACCCCTGACTTTTGAGAGACTCAAAATGCTGAGTTCATTTAAAAAAAAAAAAAAAATGTATAGACCTGGAGTCTATGGTTTAAAAATATGGAAATGTATTTTTCATGGCAGAACTGGAAAACTAAAATGTAGCACTCATCTCTCTATGCTCACGTGGCCACTAGTGGTCTTGCCAGTGAACATTTTAAATTTTAATTTTGATCAAAGCCTGTGGTTATTCTTAAAGAACAAGACACATTGTGGACCTAATCCTACCCCAATGGTCTAAAGCAGTAAGAGTTTTAGCACTGCCTTTCAGCCCAGAATAAGAGATTCCAAAAGATGGTTCAGAATTTAAAAGCATGTGGTAAAATTAAGTGTATAAGCCTTTTTTTGTAGTTGGTGCCTGGCTCAGATCCATTTTTAACATGCTGTTAGCTATCAGAAATACGACACTGGCTACCCGGGTGCCTGCTCTGGGGTAAAACCTGTTTCTAATTGCTATATAAACTCCTTTTATAACATGGTTAAAAGATCACAGAGACGGTTCCGAGCAGTAATTAAGGCATATTTAGCAAATATTAAAAATGGCTCAGCAGGGGAATGTTTAACACAGACAAGCAGGAAAACAAACAGCTTTTCAGTTGGAGGTTCTGCCTTATGACAGAGCTGTGGAGTGCCTGAACAGCAGTGAGCGAGATGGGGCTGTGGGGCTTTTGTAGAAGACAAAAAAAAAAAGAGTAAAGGAATGAGCTGCAGTCCTGCATTAGAGCACGAGTGAAAGCACTGTGGTCAGACCATGCCTTTGGCAGTGGCCCTCCACAAAGCCTGGTTCACCAGAGGCATCTCAGGAATTTGTCCTAATAAACTAAAAATACATGTAACTGATGTTCTTTGACCCACAGAAGGGCCTGACATCAGGCCACAAGAACAGTGACCAGGAAAGGATGAAATCTGATACTCAGATTCCAAGTCGGTTCTCCTGATGGTTACAGTCCTGCATTGCAATAGTGAGATGCTGTTTTATCTCTTTTCATGTTGAGGAAAAAAAAAATAACCCTCAAACTACAAACAATTTAAATGTATATATATTAGAGAGCAACATCAGCCTTCGTGAGTGCATGGTGCCACTCAGCCTTGTATTCCTCACTCTTTTAATAAATTTCTTTTCCTCGATGACCACCAGATGCACTGACTGCATCCAGATTAAAAAATTCCGTGTGTGGAGCCTTAAACCGTAGGATGAGCATGCAGGACATCTCCATGAGGGTGTTGGACATCTCCACGAATGCTGGAACTGCAGCGTGGAGCGGAGAACTGCCCATCCTCGGGGGCTGCGAGCATACCAGGCCTCCTGATCCCTCACACCCCACACTATTTTTAAACACGGAATGTGCATCCCTGCAGTGCCCGGGCCGGGCCCCGCTCCTGCCCGCAGGCTCCGAGTCCCCTCACGGCCGGAGCGCGGCCCGGCCCCTCAGGCACAGCGACCCGGGAAACGCCAGCACATGATTGACAGCCGCCCGACCAATAGGAGCAGCGGATCCGGCAGGGACAGCCAATCGTTGCCCTCACTGCGCTTAAACCGGCACCCGCTCCCGCCCTGTGCCTGAGGGCGGGGATGATGTTCGCAGCCGCCATCTTGTGTGTGGCATCCCCGCCCTTTCTTTAGGGGCTCCTCCTCCGTCCTTTGCTTTGGAGTCTTGCCTTACCGACCCGTCCCTTGAGGCCGGTGGTGTTAACAGAGAAAACCGTGGCGTAGTCGTCTTCTGGCGGCGGGCGGGGTGTCACCACGCCACGCTCAAGATGGCGGCGGGCGGCTCCCCGCCGTGGCGGGCGGGGCGCACGCGGGTGACGTTAGCGCTCCGGGCATGGGCAGGTGCAGGAGGTGGCGGTGGCCGGAGTTGGGCCGGCGGTAGCGGCGGGAGAGGAGGAGGCGGAGGAGGAGGGGGCTCGGACTCGGCCGTGGTTCGGGACAGCCGGGACACCGCAGCGCCTCCTCTCCGCTCCCTCGCCCCTCGGGGACGCTCCCCCTCGCGGCGCGGAGGGCGGCGGGCGCGGCGCGGCCATGGCCGAGGAGCCCAGCGCGCTGCCCTGGTCCATCAACAAGGATGACTACGAGCTGCAGGAGGTCATCGGTGAGCGGTCATTGGGGTTTGGGGGGTTGCAGGGTGCCCCTCGGATGTGGGGGTGTGAGTCCGCTGAGGGAAGGGGGGGTCCGATCCCTCTCAGCTGAGGGGGATCCTGTCACACAGCGCGCAAACGAGTGGGACTGTGTGGCTTCCACCTCCCTCAGCCATGTGAGGGTGTGAGAGGTTTGTTCCCCCACACTGAGCTGTGTGAAAGTCTGGGGGACCCCTCAGCTGAGGGGGTTCTGTCCTCCCTCTCTGAGGGGTGTGAGGGTCTGGGGTGGCTCTCAGCTGGAGGGGTCCCGTCGCACACGCCCCGTCGCGGACTGGGAATGTGTGACCACCGCTCCCCCCCCTCCAGCCACGTATGTAGGAAGGATGTGAGAGGATCTGTCCCCCCGCCTTGCGGGGGACTCTGAGGGCCGTGAGGGTCTGTGGGACCCCTCTGCTGAGGCTGCTGCCCCTCCTCATCTGTGTGTGGGGCCCGCGGGAGGGGATGTGGGTCTGCCCCATCCCAGGAGAGGATTGTAGTGGTCGCGGGGACGCCCCCCTGGCAGGGGGCTCCTCCCTGGCCTCTGCCCGCTCCTCTGGGCAGGGTCTGGGTCTCCTCGTGTCGGGGTGAGTGGGACAGGATCCGCTTTGGGGGGCTTTGCTTCCCACCACGGTGTGGTCTGGGAGTGGTGCTGGGCGTGAGGTGGTCAGCGGGAGTGAACTCCAGAGCTTGCGTGGACTCTCTCCTTCTAGGGCACCCCGGTTCATTTTGGGGCGATCACACCTCTCTGCAGTTTCGGAGCCCCGCGCTGCTTTGGTCCCTGCACGGAGGGTTTGGTAGAGACGCCGAACCAGCCTTTTACCCTGGGATTTTTGCTGCTGCTGTGCGTTTTCATTCATTGTTCTCAGCTCGAGGCCCCAGTCCTTGCTCTCTCCATTAAATGATTTTTTTTTTTTTCCTTCTTCACTCTCTCTTGGCGTTAAACTGCCCAGTTACCAAAGGCCTCCCGCTGTACTGATTTATTGGCTGTCTCGACCATTTTGTTGGGGTGTGTTTGAGGGATATATTGCTCTAGGGCGAGTGTGTGACACATTGGAGGTGGTGCCACAGGTGACTCTAAGGTCGGTGCCTCCCGTCTCACCCTCCGGAGACTCGGAATGAAGTAGGAAAGTGGCAGGGCAGGCTCCCGGCCAAAGGGTTTTAGGAAGGAGGTTAATTCTTTGAGTAATCTTTGTGGAGTGCTTGTATTTGAAGTTTCTGGATGACGTAGCACTGTCATGCCCAGGCTTTCCATCTCTGCCTCGTGGGGAGGCTTGTTGAGGGTTGGAGAGTTTGTGAAAATTCTGTTTTAAGAGATTAAATTCTTAGCATTGTTTAAAAGTAGGAAGGAGCTAAAGCTGTGGAGTGGGGGAAATCCCTCTGGAAATCCCTGTTGCTCTGTGGGATCCGGCTTTGTCCTCTCCCTCCGCTCAGAGGCAGCAGCAGTGCTTTAGGAAGGAGACCAACTCCCTGTGAAGGCAGGGAAGATGTAATCCTACAGAGCAACCCTTTAAATCTCCTCTGGAAAATGTGCCCTGGGGCAGAGGATGTTCAGCCTCCCTGAGGAGCAGGAGATGCTGGAGTGGGGAGGAAGGGGGAGAACATGCCACCAGTTTCCTGGGGAAAGAGAACTGAATTTCTCATAGGAAATACTTCCTTTTCTTTTGAGAGCCTGCAAAGGGGTCTTTTGTGGTGGCAAAAAGGAAGGATTTGGACCCGGGTAATCAAGGATAGGAGGGAATGCCTCTTTGTAGCTGGGGAGCGGGGTGGGATGGGAACAAAAGGGAATGTAAATACACTTCTGCTCTTGGGAGAACTTGCTGCTGGAGTCGCACATCCCACAGCCTCAGAGTACTGGGAGACACACAGAGATGTGTTGTCTCATGTTAACTGACAGAACTTGGGGGGAAATCTGGAAAAAGTGTTGAATTTCTTCTGTATCTTTTCCCTGTCCCTCTGCAAAGTGAGTTTCTGGATGTCGCCAGCTCACTGAAAGGTTGTGTTGGCATTTTGGCATGTGATGGAGTGTACACTGAGATGTGTATATTGCAAACATATGGTTTCTCTTTTTAACTTTCCTGTCCCCTGCCCCCCCTTTACTCCTTTCAAACACTGGTGTGTCTGCCAGCGGCCTGGATGGAGATGTGACGCAAGTTTCCTAGCACGTATATGATTTGTGGGACAAAATGTCACTGTGTTAACTGAGCTGGACTGCCTTGCCTCCTGCTTCATGTCTCCTGTAAACCTCAAGGGTTTTTTGGTTGATTTTTTTTTTTTTTCCTGAGCTCTCTTTCTAACTGAAGAGCTGTACAGATTCTTCAGCACGGAACAAAGAGACGTTCTGGTGTGGAAAGAGATGAACCTTGTACCGGTGCTTTTAAAGGATTTAACTTGTTTCCTGATGAAAAAAAAAAAAAAAAACCAAACATTAATCTTAAAGTTTTCTTAAAGTTTTGAGATTACCAGCTCAGCTGTTTTTTCACATGGAATAATGGAAATCCATTTGTAGTCCAGTTCTTTAACTTGTACTATTCCAGTTCTTTAATTTATTCTATTTTTGCCTGAAAATAGCCATATGTGGCTTTTATTGGACGTGGATGGTTCCATACCGCCCAAGTGCAGAAATAGAAAAAGCAAGTTTCCTACCTGCAAAGAGAACCTCTACTGTAAAACTGCTCCCCTGATTCTGGCTAATACTATATATAAATAAAAAAGGATTACTCAGCACTGGGGATGACTCATGCCATTATAAAGGTGTGGATTAATATCCGTGTTGATTATGCTTGGTTAGTGTTAATAACTGCTGAGTAGCCTCCTTAGGCTTAAATAACTTCTGGTACACTGAATCCAGGAACTTTGATAAGAGGAGAACCTGATTTCCTTTTAAAAAAGGATAAAATGCAGGTGGGGTAGAGGAAGCAATTTAAAAAGCATTTCAGTGAAATATACCCCCAGAGTAGCAAGAGTTCTGCAGGTGAATAGGGCCTTTGGAGATGCTGCAATTTTTATCTAAAAAGCAGAATATAGTCTGTGCCGTGGTTGTGAAGGTGGTTGGTCTTCTGAGCGTGGATTGCATATAAATTACTGCAGTCTTCTTTTTGAAGCCTGAAAAAAATTCGACCTCATGCTGCTTGTGCTGATCAGATACTCACACATGCAGGTTCGCCTGCATCTCACAATTCCTCTTGGAAATGCTGGTAGCGGGAGTGAAGTTGGTTGGAACTGGGTCATTCTCATTTTGCTACTTTTTTGGAAAGATTAGAGCCATGCTGACTGTGGCTGTTTGATTTAGGAGCATCCCCTTTGCTGCAAACAGCCCATGCCAGAAACAGGAGATAAATTAGTGGTGGGAGTGCTCCCAGGCTCTGTTCCTGTGCCCTCTCTCCCCTGACAGATTTCTTTGCAGCGATGAGGACAGCGCAGGCTGCATGAACAGATGTGGTGGGAGTTTCTTATCCCATCAGAAATCAAGGCTAAATTGAAAATTGAAGTCACCATTTTAGGAATGATTAGTTTTTTAATGACTGTAGTTCAAGTAGCTTTGGAGTTGGGCTTTGCGTGTGATCATGTTGATCTTTTGGGGCTGAAAATTAGATTTCTATCCATGCTCATCCCAGCCCTGTGTGGGAGAACTTTTTTTTGTGGGTAGAGAGGAACTTCTTAGAATTAAGGTATCTTCTCTCCTAAATTTTATCAAGTTGTCCATGCTCATCTATCTCGTGCTTGTGTAGGAGTCTTGTGTTGAAAAAGAGCAGCCTGGAGGTGCTGGCCAGGAGCAGTCAGGGTCTTTGGATGTAAAAATCAGGCTGGAATGGGAGGCTCTTGTCCAATGATAACTTTAGGGGTTGGGTTTTTTTTTTTTTTTTTTTTTTGGAGTGTGGTGTTCATTGCTAGCTGTGTTGCCTGTGTGCTGGCTGCAGCCAGTTTCACACGCCTGATATTTAAAACCCATTCAAGAAAAATGTTACACTGTACAAAATAGAACTGCCTGAGCTCTAAATGGAGTGTTTAGGATTCAGTCTTGGTGCCATATGTTTTGTTTTAGCATTTCCTCATGGATTCCCACTCCTCCCCCCTAGCTTTGCTGAGCAAAATTGATTCCTATACTGTATTCCCAGTACTCAGGCTGGTTAATTCATTTGAAGACTTTCTTTGTGTGCTCATTTTTTCCACATGCAGTTGGTGGAAAAGCCTTAGTTGTTTTATATTATGTTAAAAGTTACATTAAATTAACTTTGGGCAATTGTGAATAAGTTAAAAAAATGATTGGTCATTCATAGTACTTGGTCTGCTTGGGAATTGAAGTGGGAGATGCTCAGTACCAGTTTATCTGCTGCTTGGATGTAGACAAATATATCTTATGTGATCCTGAGTGCAACAGAATAGCCAAGCTACTCCTGCATCCAGGCTATCTTTCCTCTGGATACTTGACACATCTCATTTCTTTAAGACCTTTGATACCATTGCCCTGCTAGAGTTAGAGCTGAACTAAGTCACTTTTCACCTCTGGGGAAGTGAAAGCAAAAGGTGTTTGGTTGTACACGTGCCTTTTTTTAGTGCCTCTGCTGCCTGTGTCCTGATAGGAAGGAGGATAAAATGCACAAGGCAGCAAAATGAGGGTTTGAAAAAGCATGCAGTGATGAAGGAGGCTGGCTGGGAAGAATATGTGGCTGTTAGCCTTGCCTGCTGGTTGGAGGGGAGAGCAGAGACAGATCCCGCTGCTTTCAGGTATTCTGGGGTATTAAGGAAGAAAACAACATGCAGGCTGTTTCGTGTGGAAGAGTTCACACTTTCCTGGGCTTGGCTTCTATGTAGCAGTTGCTTCCAGTACTGCTAGGTACGTGGACTGATTAATGTTTAACACTTCCATTTCTCAAGAATCCATTTAAATAGTTGCAGTTTAATGCAAATATCTTGGCTGGTGCTGGGGAGTGTGGCTGTGCTCCTGAGCACACCTGAGGGGTGTACATGCTGCCTG